AGCAATAGAATAAATAACCAAGATTTAGTCAACAAAAGAAGTAAAAAATAAATCAAGAATTTAATCATCGCAAATTTTTATATATATCTCTTACAATGTTTTTATAACCTTTAAGACAAACAAAATCTACCATCATCCCCCATCCCCCCTACCAGTAATTTTGAAATTGTCAAAAGGTTAAACCCAAAGCAAGAAAAATCCCAAATTACACTCCAGACGATGCGCACATCAGTTTCCATGCGCATACACGGTGCACATTAGCATCAACCAATCAAAATTCATTTCTCTCCCTTCAACTTCTCCGGCGAGACTCTCCGTCGTGAGCCACCGTCATGGCCACGTGGAACGCTTCTTCCCCTACGGCGTCTCCTTGCCGTCTCGTCTCTTCCCGGCGACGAACGGAGGCTCCACCGAGACGACCTTCCTCCGAATCTCCACCACGGAGGAAGATGAAATCAATGGCTGAAATAATGGCGAAATCAAAGCCTGTTCTTGAAAAGGAACAAGACGATAGCTACAGTGACGTTACCTGCGAGAAATGCGGTTCAGGTGACGGAGACGATGAGCTTCTTCTCTGCGACAAATGCGACAGAGGATTCCATATGAAATGTCTTAGACCGATCATGGTTCGTGTACCCATTGGACCATGGCTCTGTGTCGATTGTTCCGACCAACGACCTGTAAGAAGTAGGGATTTTTTTTTTCTTTCTCTTTCTGTTAAAAATTCCTAATTTTTCGTATGTTCTTCGTTTTTCAAATTTTTGGGGTATCAATTTCTTGTCTAGGGTTATCTCAGAAAAAGATTTTGCATTTCTTTCGGATTGAGAAGGAAATTGATCGAACAGAGAAAATGCTATTGAGTCAAGGTACGATTTTTAATTTTTGGTTTGTGATTGATCATCGTCATTTGTCTGAAAGTTTTTAGCTTTGATGAATCTGGAGAGATGTTTCACTTGATTAACAGTTTGATGAATATGAAAGAGCTAAACTTTAGTTAATCTAGATTATGTTTAGGGTTAGGTTTTAATAAGCATTGATGAGAGAGCTAACATATCTTAGACACAGATTGCTTAGCAAAATCAGGTTTTTAATGGCTTCCATTTCTTTGTTTTGAAGAAGAGACTAGAAAGCCTCGGAGACGATCTTGCTCTTTAACGGTGAAGAAGAGAAGGAGAAAACTATTACCTTTGGTTCCATCAGAAGATCCTGATCAGAGGCTTACACAAATGGGCACACTTGCAACTGCTTTAACTGCATTGGGTATCAAATACAGCGACGACTTAACTTATGTTCCTGGAATGGCTCCTCGGTCTGCAAATCAATCCAAGTTCGAGAAAGGTGGAATGCAGGTAAAAGAAGACAATCTTTCAACCCTTTTTCGGTAACTCTCTTTCTTAAGTTTCTTCCCTTAATTGTTTCTCTCGGTTTTTCATTTTTGCAGGTTCTATCGAAAGAAGATTTAGAGACATTGGAACAATGTCGAGCTATGTATAGACGAGGAGAATGCCCTCCTCTTGTTGTGGTATTCGATCCGCTTGAAGGGTATATCTCTCAATTCATTCAATCAATCTTCCTTTTACTACAAAGCGGATTTAAAAGCATGTTTTTTAATTGAATATACAGTTACACAGTTGAAGCAGACGGTCCAATTAAGGACTTTACATTCATAGCTGAATATACAGGAGATGTTGATTACTTAAAGAACCGAGAAAAGGACGATTGTGATAGCATTATGACTCTCCTTTTATCTGAAGATCCATCGAAAACTCTTGTTATCTGTCCCGACAAGTATGGAAACATAGCTCGCTTCATCAATGGCATTAACAACCACAATCGGTAAGCACAAATTCGAAACCTTTTCTTTCTTTTTTTGGGGTTTCCTGCACAAAAGTTTAATCACATCACTGATGGTTGCAGGTTTAGTAAGAAGAAGCAGAACTGTAAATGCGTGAGGTATAGCATAAATGGCGAATGTCGGGTTCTTCTAGTGGCTACGCGCGATATATCGAAAGGAGAAAGGCTCTATTATGACTACAATGGTTATGAGCATGAGTATCCTACTCATCACTTCCTATGATCTCTCACTTCTAACCGTTCTTCTACAGAGTCTCCGGTTCAAAATTGGTCTTTTTTTAATTGCCATTTACAGGTCAATTAGAAATTGTAGAGCTGAGTTGTATGGCCTTTGAAGAAGAGGTCATGCAGTCTTAATTATGAAGTTAGAGATAGAAATAATTGGGTTTTTTTTTATTGGCATTACAGAGATTAAGATGTGTCAAATGTCTATGGCAGAACTTTGTTGGATATCAAAGAAATTCTAACTTCTTTTTTATGTTCTTGGAGAAAAATTTCACCACCTTAACAGGTTGCTAAATTTGATTTGTTAAACTAATACTCCATCCATTTAAAGTTATCAAAATATTGATTAGCAAAATGAACAACTACACTCTCAAGCTTTTATTTATTTATAACCTAGAATGTATTAATATCGATAAGGTATTTGTCTACTGATAATCTAATACATCTTCTTGAAACT